CGAGGAGGACAGTGACGAGGAGACCCAGTTCGGCAGAAATGCACATGTTTAAAGCCGCTGATGTTACAGCAGACCAAATGTCTTTGGGCTATAAGGAGGATCCAAGTACACGTTAAAGGTTTAAGGAACCGGTTATAACGTTAACGTTAAATCACATGTGGACAACGTCCTGTAATTAGGCATAATAAAGGCTGCATAACAGAACGAACAGGTCGATTTTAGGATTTACTGTCAGTTTTACGTTATTCTCTGTTAATCCTGGTGATGGTCAAGCGATGGTTGGAGGCAACAGGACGTGCTGGGTACCGCATGTCAGCACCATCACAGAGGAGTACGCACCTGGTCTTTGCTCGCCTTCTCGGACTTTAACTTCCGAACGACTTCCCCTTGGATTTTAATCGCTTCTTGCATCTCTGCCTTGTTGTCCATGGCTTTTCATTAATGTGTCAGACCCGCTACTCACTTAATGTGTCAAGAGGACGGTGGGGGCGGAAACGGAAATACGTAAGACCTGCGATTCATATGCTTTTGAGTAAATACTTCCTGGTGAGAGTGAGCAGCAACTATGTAAAAGTGTATGATAGCATCCTCCCCCTCAGTCACTTTATGCCATATACGTCTCTGATGTATCAAAAGTTTACCTCAGAGGGATTTTTATTAAAGAATACACTCTGCTGGAACGTTGGAAAGCAGCCACCCCCCAAAATTTGCATTGTCCACTTAGCATTTTATCCTTATTTACCATGTTTATTCTTGACTTCATGGGTTGATTACCTTAAATCAACTGTAGCACATTTTTATATTTGTGTTAGAACATCCTAAGTTGTTTCCAACTTAAGGCTACAAGAACATTTAAAAAGATTTTTTTTTAAAGTCAGCGGAGCTCTCACCTCTCCAGTCCTCTATAACAAATGAAAGTTCACAAAATCCAAGTAATTGGAATCGCTGCTCACAAACTCTGACCCAACAAGGGCTAAAGGACAACCTGTGCTATGGGGTCACAAATGTTTCCAAAAATAGGTATAATACACAAGGAATTCAAACCAGTGCTCTAAGACACTGCCGGAGGTCTTTGGTTTCTTCAGGAACAAAAAACAAACGAAAAGGAAACTGCCACTTTGAGATTTTCAGGTCACTGATTACATCAACTAATTCCCAGTAAAATAAAATCCAAAATATGTATCATATCATGTAAACCTATGGCATTGGTAGTTTGAGCACCATTCTAATTTTACATATAACGAATACAGTAAGGCACATGCACAGACATTTTGCAGGGCAGGTGCTCAAACCAAAACAAAAGGGCACCTATCACCAAAACTATTCATGAAATTAATAATAAAATAAAATAAACAAAAAAATAAATAAAAAACACAGTAGGATATTTTCCCAGTCCTTCTGCCTTTGGAGTCTCTCTTTTCTTTTTTGTCCATCCATCCATCCATCCATTGTCAAACCACTTATCCTGCACACAGGGTCGCAGGGGGGCTGGAGTCCATCCCAGCCAACAAGTTGGCTGCACATTTTGTAAATGAGATAAATCAATGTTGTGCATAATAATCAAAAGCTGACAAAACACAAACTTTATTGTACCGTTTTCTGACAGAGTTGAAGCATAAGCAGCATTACACTAATAATATACCACAACCTAAGACCTACATTTTAAAACAAAAACTAGTGAACTTGTCTAATTTGTTCTAAAATTCTCTGTCTGTCTGTAGCTCTCTCTTTCTCTCTCTTCATTAAACATGACAAACGTCAGTAAACAGCTAGACAAGGCTTTGAAGTCACGGATTTCGTGAGTTTTTTGATTGTATATTTTTTAGGAAACATCAGACTAGCAAAGTAATGTTTTCAGTGGAGCTAATGTTGTGGTTCATTTATCACCAAACATCTCTGGGGAACCATCACCTTATCGTAGTGGAGGGTTTGTGTGTCCCTATGACCCTGAGGGCTGTGTTGTCGGGAGCCTTGTGCTCCTGGTAGGGTTACCCTTGGCAAAGTGGTCTCAGGCGAGGGGCCAGACTAAGAATGGTTCAAAAGACCCTATGAAAAAACGGAAGAGGGAAGGAGTTACCCGGCCCGGTGGAAGCCCGGGGCCCCCATTTGGAGCCAGGCCCAGATGGAGGGCCCGACAGCGAGCATCTGGTGGCCGGGCTTGCCGTGGAACCCGGCCGGGTACAGCCCGAAGGAGTGACGCGGCAGCCCAAGACTCTACTCCCCATGGGCTCACCACCTGTGGGGGAAACCGATGGGGTCGGGTGCGCTGCTACAAGGGTGGCAGTGACAGTGGGGGGTCTAGACGAAACAGACCTTGGCGGCAGATGCTGGCTCTGGGGACGTGGAACGTAACCTCTCTGGGGGGGAAGGAGCCGGAGTTTGTGCGGTAGGTGGAGCGTTACCAGTTAGATCTGGTGGGGCTTACCTCTACGCACAGCCTCGGCTCTGGAACCACACTCCTGGATAGGGCATGGACTCTATTCTACTCCGGAGTGGCCCATGGTGTGAGGCGCCAGGCGGGTGTGGGGATACTCATAAGTTCCCAGCTGAGAGCTGCTACATTGGAGTTTACCCCGGTGGACAAAAGGGTCGCCTCCCTACGCCTTCGGGGTTGGGGGGGGGGGCTCTGACTGTTGTCTGTGCATATGCACCAAACAGCAGCTCAGACTATTCTTCTTCACATCTGCTCCTTTTGGGAGACCCTGGATGGAGTCCTGCAAGGAACTCCGGTAGGGGACTCCATAGTCCTACTGGGAGACTTCAACGTGGGCGACGATGGAGATAACTGGAGAGGCGTGCTTGGGAGAAATGGCCTCCCTGATCTGAACCCGAGCGGTTGTTTGTTACTGGACTTATCCATAACAAACACCACGTTCAAACATAAAGATGTTCATAAGTGTACGTGGTACCAGAGGACCCTAGGCCAAAGATCAACGATCGATTTTGTAATCGTATCGTCTGATCTGAGGCCGCATGTTCTGGACACTCGGGTAAAGAGAGGGGCAGAGCTGTCAACTGAACACTATCTGGTTGTGAGCTGGGTCAGAGAGGAAGACTCGGGACAGACCCAGTAAACCCAAGCGTGTAATGCGAGTGAACTGGGAACGCCTGGAGGAGGCCCCGGTCCAAAAGACTTTCAACTCACACCTCCGGCAGAGCTTCTCTCACATTCCTGTGGAGGTAGATGACATTGAACCAGAGTGGTGTATGTTCAAAGCCTCCATTGCTGAAGCCGCGGCAGTGAGTTGTGGCCTCAAGGTCTTAGGTGCATCAAGGGGCGGAAACCCTCGAACCCCGCAGTGGACACCAGTGGTCAGGGAAGCCGTCCGACTGAAGAAGGAGGCCTTCCGGGTTATGATATCCGGTGGGACTCCGGAGGCAGTTGCAGTGTACTGACAGGCGCGAAGGGCAGCAGCCTCTGCCGTGATGGAGCCGTGAAGGAGTTTGGGGTAACTACGGAGAAGGACTTTCGCTCGGCACCAAAGTGCTTCTGGAAGACCATCCGGCACCTCAGGAGGGGGAATGGGTAAACCATCCAAGCTGTGTACAGTAAGGATGGGACCCTCAATTTGCCTGGTGGAGGTCACTTAGGTAGTCAAACAACTCCGCAGTGGCAAAGCCCCGAGGATTGATGAGATCCGTCCAGAGATGCTAAAAGCAATGGGTGTTCGGGATTTGTCTTGGATGACACGCCTCTTCAACATTGCGTGGAGGTCTGGAACAGTGCCAAAAGAGTGGCAGACCTGGGTGGTGATACCCCTCTTCAAAAAGGGGGACTGGAGAGTGTGTGCCAATTACAGGGGTATCACACTACTCAACCTCCCGGGTAAAGTCTACTCCCAGGCGCTGGAAAGGAGGGTTCGGCCAATAGTCAAACCAAGGATTGAAGCGATGGACCAGCTCTTTACTCTTTCCAGTATCATGGAGGGGGCTTGGGAGTATGCTCATCCAGTCTACATGTATTTTGTGGACTTGGAGAATGTATGACCTGGTCTCCCGAGAGAAACAGTGGGAGGTGCTGCGGGAGTACGGGATGAGGGGGTCCTTGCTTGGAGCCATCTAATCCTTATACGTCCAAAGCGAGAGCTGTGTTCGAGAGCTGCGTTTCCGATGGGTGTTGGCCTTCGCCAGGGCTGCGCCTTGTCACCAATCTTGTTTGTGGTCTTCATGGACAGGATATCGAGGTGTAGTCGGGGGGAGTAGGGTCTACAGTTTGGGGGCCTGCGGATCTCATCGCTGCTTTTTGCAGATGATGTGGTCCTGATGGCATCTTCTGTCTGTGACCTCCAACTCTCACTGGAGCGTTTCGCAGTCGAGTGTGAAGCGGTCGGATTGCCTACTCCAGATAGGGAATGTGTCCTTACCCCAAGTGAAGGAGTTCAAGTACCTCGGGGTCTTGTTCATGGGTGAGGGGAAGATGGAGTGTGAGTTTGGCCGGAGAATCGGAGCAGCGGGGGCGGTATTGCACTCGCTTTACCGCTCTGGCTCTGGATTCCCAGTCAGAGCTGGTAGATGTGGCCCGGAAAAGGGAAGTTTGGGGTCCCCTGCTGGAGCTGTTGCCCCCGCGACCCGACCCCGGATAAGCGGCTGAAGATGGATGGACGTCGGGGGGCTTTTGCACAAAAAACATAATCACCTGGCTGTCTGATGCTGCAGCCGTTTGGCGCTCAGCACTGCACGAGCAGCGGAGGAGGAGGAGGAGGGGGAGGGGCGGGGCTTGTGAGCGCCGCAGAGCATGTTGGGGCGAAATTCTCACAAAAGCTCAAATAAATGCCAGTGAGGTATAAAACCCATTTGGGGGGAATTAATGACAGATAGGGTGATTTCTATTGTTAAGTATTGATGAATGAAGAAAGAATTGGGCTCCAGCAGATGGGGCACTTTTCTCACCCAGGGCAAAAGGGCAGGTTCTAGAGCACCACTGGGGTCTATCTGTGCACGTGCTCGCCTCCAGTGTTTATAATGCATCAAAGGTCAATGAAACTTTACCCAGGACTTCAAACTGTGCATGAAAGTAAACATTGTCCTGTTTGAACATTGACCAAAGTAGGTGCATTACCAAAGTACACAGCTACTGTGTTAACAGAGACCTGTCCTCGTGTCTGTGAGTATCATTACATTATTTTATTTTGCATCTAAAGAGTTGTTATTGGTGGTAAAGAATGGCAACGTATGGTGAATATCAGGGAAGTTTAATTTGCTGTTTCAGACACATCTTTGTTTTGATCAGCCTCATGAATTTGTTGTGAATGAACGTGGTAAAAATGAACGACAACACATTTTGATGCTTGACTGCGGTAACCAGTGAGTTATTTGGGTTCTTTTGAAACCTAGTACTTTTTATTATTATTTATTATATTTCATTATAATGTGAACAGGCTTATTCATGGTAATGAACCCAAAAACAATTATTACCATCAATGCAGCTCCATGAGGCATTGCAGCATCTTTCAGCTCATTGGTTTCATGTCCCACAAGAGGGAATAATAATGTTCATTCCTTTAAGTTGGATACTTAATGAGGATGTTTTTATGATAACAACGTTGTGATAATATGTAAAATAATTCATAACTTCTTTAACTCTGCCAAATTGTAACGCTGATTACTTCAGTTTTGGTATCCCTCCCTAACATAACACGTGTTATTTTATTCCCAATGAGATCACATGTGTAATTAGTAAACCTTTCCAAACTTTTAAGGCTGCTGTTGGGGGCCACTAAAATGAGTCCCTTTCTGCAAATATGGAGATTGACCTTAATGAACCCACTGATATGTGTTGACTCTTTATTATCCACAGGGTCCAGTCAGCATGGAGCTGTCACCACCCCCCCCAGGTCTAGAGGAAGAATATAAGTCACTTTTCAGCACACGCTCCCTCCTTTTCCTCCAGGAGCTGATATCCACATTTGATGAGGAGGTGGATCAGGTAAGACAGCCAAAAAGGCTTTTTGCAATTCAATGCACGGAAGACATGTTTCTCACGTTGAGACGTTATTATACTCTACTCAGGTCCTGCAGTTACGGATTTCCAGAAAGGCCCATTTAGACCTCACAGCTGACCTGCCAAGTTTTCTGGAAAGTACGACACATATCCGGAGGGATCCACTCTGGAGGGTGCTCCCTGTTCCCCCGAGGCTCCAGAGAAGACATGTGGACATTGGGGACCTGGCTCCCTGTGACACCCAGCGCTTTGTTAAAGCCCTGCAGTCATCAGCACAAGGCCTACAGGTACCACCTGTGACAACACTGACACAGGATAACTGGACAATGAACATGCAATATGCAGTTAGTAACTTCGGTATACATACATATACATGCGTATATATACGCATATATTATATATTAGTGCTGTCAGCTAAAAGCGTTATTAACAACCTTAATGCAAACCCATTTTAACGGCGTACATTTTTTTTCCGGGGATTAGCGTTTCGTTTTTTTTTCCAAATGTTTTTCTTTACATGTTGTAGTAGTAAAAACTTCCACCAGCACGACAGCATACCAACATATGATCGTATATTAAATTAATTAACATCAACGTGTAAATCGTTTTTTTCAGGCAAATAATTTCCAAGTACATACAAAACCCTAACCCTTTACCTGAAATATGCACTTTATAATTTTATTTTGTACCGGCCTGTTTGGCAATGTTGTTTTTAAATCAAATGAAACATTTGCATAAAGCAAGCCAATCCAGTTTTCCATGTTGATAAGAGCATTAAAATGAAAAAAATTCCCCCAAATTTGAGATTAATCTTGAGTTAACTATGACATAAATGCGATTAATCATGATTAAATATTTAAACGTGTGACAGCACTATATATATATGTATGTATATATATATATATTACAAGCATATACATATGTCTAGCTAACACAGTATTTTTTTTGGCATTTTCGTGGGATTTCATGACAAAATAGAGAATAACTCCAGCTTTATCTTTAGATATACAAATCCTACATTTGAAGAATACCTCCTTGTCCATACATAGTGTCCGGACATACACTACTAGTGGGCTTCAGTGCACGTTTTCACTGTCAACTATTAGCAGTGATAACTCCATTACTATGCAAGTATTTTAGCCATAGATTTAAGGGAAATTGGGTCTCATGGGTTCGCAGTTGTAACATGAAGAAGATATCAAATGTATATTTTTTATATTCATCATTTTGAGCAAGCTGAAAACACACCATTGAGACCATAGTGTCCACAAGCACGGCTTCACAGAGCCACTACCATCTCTCCTGACTCCTCACATAGCTTTTCTGTTGCACTACTATAGATTCTGTAATTCTCCCTTTGGTTACAGGTTGACTTTGATGATGGGAACTGCCCTACATATTACAATCAGATCAAAGGCCTTCATAATGTTTTTAAGGCAGTTCACAACCAGTTCCCCAGTAAGTTGCTTACTTCATATCAATACATTACTGTACATCTGTGTGAGTATTGCAGCTGTGAAACAGAAAAGCACTCACAGTCACTCTACACATTGTCTCATGTTCCACATCATTCATCGACCTCCCTCCATGTGTTCACAGATCTTCCTCACATATCTCATGCTCCAGTGCTGATGCTTCGCCCTCGTGCCTGGAACATGGTGGAGCACAACTTGATGGTAGTATGACCTTTGTACTTGCCTCACTCACTTTATTTTATTTATTTAGTCAGTGCAGATTGGGTTTGAAACAGACTTTTGTCAGTCTCATTTTCCTACAACAAAATTTGAATAATTTTTATTGTTTGGAAATATTATTTTATCATTTAATTGAGTGATGAACTAAATCAATTCAATTTATATAACATAAATATTACATTTTTTAACACCTGTTATGGTAGCTTCTGTTGTTTTAGTGGGAGTTATATGGGTATTCTAAAGTCTTGGCCAAGGACTTTACAAAGACAAAAATTCAAAAAAATTCACAAAATATTTACACCTATTTATTAGTCGAATAAACATTTGTATTATTTGTGGTAGCTAATATCTTTACTATGTTTCTTGTAAACTAAACTAAAAAAGTAACCAAAAGGTGTTTTTTTTTATATTTAAATGAATGTAATTTGAAAACCATCAGATGAAATAAGCAGTTTTCTTCAATCCATTTCTTTGCTCTGGCCATATGTCACTTTTGTGTCATATGCTATATACTAGTATATAATTCATCTTTTTTTCTTAATCCTCCATACATAAAATATCTGTTTGCCAGGTGGCAGGGAAGGAGGCTCCGGGTCCTCTCTTTGACTTTGGACTCCTCATGTTTCACTGTGGGAAGACGCTTTTTGAAAACAAGAGTGGACCCTTTTTCTACCTCTCCAAAGTAACACACAGACATACATACCATCACTCAGCCACACAGATGAATACAGTTGACATGAAGCTCTCCTGTCTCTCATTTTTTTCTAGGTGGAGAGCTTCATGGAGGCCAGACTATGGAACAACATATTTGTCTGGACACAACACAAGGTCATACCCAATTCATGTTCTCCTACAAAGTCTTTGTTATTTTTAAATGCCGTTCTACTTGGTTAATTTGATGGCTACATTTTTAACTTCATTCCCAGAATCTCAGATCAATTTTTTTGTGTTGCTAATACCAGGACTTTGTCACAGTCACACACAACTCCCCTGGTATATGCTTTAGTCTACACCTCCTCATGTATGCACATCTAGAGAAGCCAAGTGGTAAATGGTATATGGAAAACTATTTTCCTATTTTTTTTGTAGTTTCCTACCTCTCGTGTCCATGGTTTAGCTTCACTTCCTGCCTTGTCATGTCACCTCCTGTGATTGTCTGCCGTGTCCCTGATTGTTTCCACCTGTGTCCAATCACCTGCAGCTTCCCAGTGTATTTAAGCCATGTGTGTCTTTAGTCCCATGTCAAAAATCCTGGGGCTGCAGTGGGTGGAAGAGGTCAGGCCTGAGAGGGTGGTTATCTGCTCAGACTCTGCGGCAGCCTTAAACAGCATTAAATCCAAACGATCAGAGCGAGAAGACCTAGGGCTGGAAATGTCCCTGTTAATGCTGAGACTCCAAAGAATGGGTATTAGTGTACAAATGTGCTGGGTTACGGCCCACGCAGGTGTTGAGGGAAAGGAGAGATCTGACAGGATCGCAAAGAAAGCGCGCCTCGCTCAAGAACAGAGAAGAAGAAATAATTAACATCCCATTTGGGAAAGGGGAAGTGAAAGCGGTCATAAGAGAGGCAGTGAGGGAACTATGGCAATGGAAGTGGGACAAAAACCGCAAAGGAAGACACTATCACACCATACAGAAAACCATAAATCTAAAGCCATTCAAAGTGAGTTTTCGGAGAGAGGGGGTTATATCAAGACTAAGACTCGGTCACACCAGGCTGAACTTCTGACACATCCACAAGACAAAAAGTGGTTAGTTTATTGTAAGTAATGGTATAAAATAATCTGTGCCAAATGGCTCCTCAAATGTAGGCACATTTAATGAATTTGTTTGTGTGTGCAGTTGGGCCTTCCACTGGGCAGCATCAAGGCAACAGTGCTAATTGAAAATATATTAGCAGCATTTGAGATGGAGGAGATTCTCTACGAGCTGCGAGACCATTCAGCAGGACTCAACTGTGGCATCTGGGATTATTCAGCTTCTTTTGTCAATAAATTTGGTGAGCCAAACCTTCACATCCCAATGAGTGCTTTGCGCTCTCTCTGAATCCAATCATGTTTTAGGAAAGGTCCAAGCATGGATAGAAAAACAAGTGGGTCCACTGGGAAACAATTCAGGGTCCCAAAGGGTCAAGGTACCCCTGGAATTAAATAAAAAAATAGCAGAAAAACGTAATGACTACAAAGAGACACAAATCTGGTGGGGCTTTTGCATATTTGTGAAAAGGCAGTCCTTGTCCCATTGAGGTCAACAGGTCATGTGTTTCCCCTCCAGGTCACAGGCAGGATTTCCTTTTGCCCGACCGGAGTAAATATGTAAATATGGAGAAGCGTTTTCTGCGCAGTTACATGGACCTGTTGGTTCAGACGTGTCATCGGAGGGGAGCGCTGGCCACAGGAGGCATGGCAGCCCTGCTGCTACCTCCGGACCCGCTCAGTGACCCCCACAGCACAGTGTTGGCCACTGTCACCAGGTAGGAACATCGCTGTTCAAACACATCCTCTTGAGACTGAATTAGACTTGGAAACAAAAACTGACAAACCAGTTCAGGCAAATGTTAAAGAGACCAATGAGAGGCTCAGATTGCAACTACAATTTCAAAACGTCATTAGCCTCGATGAACACTCAACACATATGAACAACATCTGAAAACATCAGACAAATTTAGCATCAAACAATGCATTTTCTGACCTATCCACGCACAGTTTAATGTACATTTTCAAAAGAGTTCTGTAAATACATTCTGCATTCAGAATGTGTTTACTTACAGGAAACCTATCGCTCCACAAGACAATCACGTGAAAAGAACAAACTTCACTTCCTGTTTTCCTCGTCACACCACGCTACTAGTACAGTGCCCTCTAGTGGCGAATACCATTTTCCCACTAGGCTACATATACATACTAGTAGTACTTTTTATTATAGTTGAAAGGAAAGTACTAGTAGTGCTTTTAGTACTACTACTACTACTACTACTTTTTTATGTATTAATATCAGTAGAAATACTGGTACTTGTAGTGTTAGTAATAGGGTCGACGGTGGCGCATGGAGTAGAGAGGGTGCACTGGAAACCACAAGGTTGGCGGTCCGATCCCCGGCTGCTCCATGTCGGAGTTTCCCTGAGCAAGACACCTAACCCCTAACTGCTCCCCGGGCAAAAATGTAAAAGCTATGGGTTAAAAATGAAATGTAAGACGCTCTGAATAAAAGCGTCAGCTAAGTGACATGTAATGTAATAGTAGTATAAATAGTAATCTTTCTAGTACCATTACTACCATTAGTAGTAGGAGTAATGTTAGTATTAATAGAAGTTGAAATAGTAGTAGTCGTAGTGTTAGTAATAATTGTGGCTTGTACCTTCTGCTTTCTCTGAGAATTATGTCAGCAGATTACGCGTGACATTAAAGTGAACAGTATGTGGTCTGAAAAACTCATGAAACATAATCAGTGATATTGAATAAAGTTGAATAGATATCAACAAGCTGACAAGTTGAATAAAGATTAGAAGAACAAAAAATTGCCCCATTATATTAATGAATCACACAATATACAATGTCATCCAATCTCATGCTGTGCAATTACCCTGTTGATGCCGATATTCTTTGCTGAGTTTTCAGATGTAAATCTTCACGGTTGATGCGTTTTTAAAACAAAACATTTTTCGCCCCTCTGACACTCTTTCCTCCTACTTATCAGATTGAAGTTGCTGGAGATCAAGGCGGGTGTGGACGGTTTTATGGTGTATGACCTGAGTTTGATCGAGCCAATGCAGAAAGTGAGTACTGTTTCACAATCCATTCAAAGCTTTCCATTAATACAAGGATTTTTTTTTTCTGTTCGTAATTCTTAACTCCTTCCAGCTCTTCAAGCTCCACACTGAAGGTGATAACCAGCTTCATCAGCTTCGACATGATGTTACTGTGACACCTGAGGACCTGCTGTCCATGCCTTTGGTCAGTTGCCCAGTTGTCCCAGAATAAGACAGCAGAAGATACCTTGCTAACTATTGATAGACTAAGCAAATAGCGTCTGTTGGCTTATATATTGCAGTTTACAGATTTAGTGGGCACCAATAGGAACCTCCCAAAAAGGTAATAAAATGAGAAACAGCTTGAAAGCATTCTTAACTGCCAAGCAGACTTCTCCTCGACTTCTAATATAGAAGGCGAGGAGAAAATGACTGCTGTTGAATTATTCCCTCAGTAAACATTTGTAAATATAACTTTTATACTCTCAATCTTATACATAATGATGTTCATTTGGTAAATTAGAGTCCATTTACAGTCGAAAAGACCATAAGGCAGAGTATGCTTTCGGGCACGGCTAGCTTGTGATTGAAATGTCGCTACCACAGCAACCTGGTTGTTCTTTTCAGCAAATGGTTGTACAAAAATACACTCCAGAAATGAATACATTTTGTTTTAAATTATAAAGACTCGGATTAATATCACAGTAAATTATGGATGCACCATGCTAGCCAGGCTTTACCAGCTAACTTGGTGTGTGTTCTGCTAACTTGAGAGACTGGTTCTGCTAACTGTGTTACATCTCTATCCAAATATAGAAGATGGCAACGGCTAAAATGCCAAACTTATGACTTTTGTGCAATCCAAAATAAAATGAATTGTATTGAATATTATTGGGAGGGAATGTCAAATTAACTTAAAAAGAAACACACAAATTAAAATTAAATGGAAAAAAACTAGGGCTGCAACTAATGAACGCTGCTGGAGGCTCGTTACGTTCCTCACTTCAAAGCGGTACAACGTGGTGCTCCCGTGCCATGCCCCCCCCCTTTCTTTGCTTTCTCATGGTGTTCCTCATTAGCACACCTCACCAGTAGATTGCCATCATTTAGGACGTTTGCATAGCTAGTCTCCCCTAATTTGTTTGACAGAGCCATTGTCAGCACAAATGGACTGATTTTCTTCTTGATCTTTTTCATGGAACCTTACTATGACCATACATTTATCACGTTTTTCGCTTTCCCCTCACTCATCTCCTTTTCTCTCACTTTCCGAACTCTCATTATTGTTATGTCTTGTTCGTTTGTTAGTATTCACAAGAACTCGTTGATTTTTGCTTCTCTGCCCCTTTATCTCCCCCTCATACTCTTCTTCACTCCCCTGACAATAATCCATTTCTGCCCAACTGCCTATGTCTCATCCATTCACAGGGCAGTCGTGCTCAACCGCCTCCAAAGCAGTTGCTCCTTCTCGATTTAATGCTGTACATTTTGCCAATCGGCATTTCCTCGTCCACCTCCTGCAGATGCCGCCGCCATCTCTCGGTCCCTTGGAAGGACACTGCTCGGCGTCGCTCTTGTTATGTTGTTAACCGGCGTGTCGCGAGACTCTCCCTGACGAGGGTGCGGCGAAGGGCAAGCCTAAAACTCAATCTATTTTAGGCTGCTGAAATATTATGTCACTCATTAACTTTCAGCAGTGAGCCCAGCTGAGACATGAAAAGCAGATATCTTAAGTTACAAATAATACTGGATATATTCCATGTTTCAAAAACACATATTGACTATTTGTAAAATGTAATTTTACTATTATTAAAATTATTATTATTATTATTAATTATTTTAATATAATTTAAAAAAAATTATAATTCTTTTGTGGCTCAAGGTGGGGCCATGCCCCATAGCCCTCTATGGACCAGCCGCCACTGGTAATCTCAGTTTAGCTAGAAGTCTACTTCAGGTATGAACACTATTTTTCAAAAACATATTCCCCTTCAAGTAGAGAGTGCTATCCAACATTTCTTTCCAAAATCTTTAAGTGTTCAGCTTTGTTAATAAATTAGGAATTTTCATACATGAGACAGAAGATGATATGATCAGAATGGAATTCTGACTTTGGTAGTAGGAATAATAAAGTATATTTGCATGTATTCTATTTTTCCTCAGGGAGGAGTCACCCTTTACGGTTTGAAGTATAACATTGCAGTTGGTGTCCTCTTTGTTAATGCTTGGCTATCAGGTACGTACATTCTTACCCCCCCTTTGGCCCTCCAGCTGATAGGACGAAGTGAGCCTTATTGTGTGGACTGACTGTTTCTAGGTAAAGGTCACTTTTTCTACAGAGGCCAGGTCGAAGATTCGGCCACAGCAGAGATTTCCAGATCACAGGTGGGTTTAGGATTACACAATCCAACTCTAGCCCTCATCCCTGTGGGCCATAACTTACTGCAAAGACAAAAACATATACCTGCATACAGTGGTCCCCAACCACCGGGCCGCGGACCGGTACTGGGCCGTGGGCCGTTTGTTACCGGGCCGCACCACAGAAAGCTTATATATAATTTTTTTCTGAAAAATGTTTTATTTTGAAAATTGACCGGATTTTCTCCTAATTATGTGCGCTCGTCCCTCTGACATATTCCCCACGCGTCACCAGGCGTTTTTCTTGTCCTTTCACCGTGTGCGGCAGCGCGCCCCCCCCGTCGGTCGTTCCGCCCACAACGACTACTACCCCCCGTCGGACCTTCTCGACCGGTCCGCGAAATATTGTTGTACAGTACAACATTTCATGAGTCAGACTCATGACCGCTACTGCAAAGTTATCATTTCGCCTTTGTCAGGCAGCCTGCGGGGTATTTATATGCAATACATGTTTAAAGGAATACCTGATAGAAGAAAAAAAAAGTTCTGCTTGAAAATATGGTTTCGACTGTAGAACGTTTACGAGACATAAAGTATATACAAAAGAGCATTTAAGCAAACTGAATGTAGGAAAATGAATTAGTGTCAAATCACGTTGACCCTTAAGTCACCTGACGTGATACGGAGTGTGTTTCATGTGTCAGGTGTGGCAGTGGATCCGTCATCAGACTCAGCTGGAAGACGACAGCAGGGTGGTGAGCAGGCGGCTGGTGACTGAGCTCATCATGGAGCTTACAATGGAGCTCAAAGCTCTCTGTCACTCTGTTAGGTAAGCAGACACTTCTTGAGGACACCTTTTTGGAAAAATCATATGAGCAATGTGGCCATACAAAAGGTTCCATTGACATAAGATAGTTTCCCTTCTCCCAATATAGCATACATATTAGATCTGCTATGCACATTGTGTAACCCATGCTCTCTTTAGAGAAATGTATACTTTTATTTTTGAGTTTCTCGACTAAACACACGTATCTGTTTATATACCAGTCAGACTACGGCTATGCGTAGCTATGTGTTAAATCATTTCACAATTTGATCATGTTCTAAACATTGTACTGATTTACTGAAATTTTGTTATTTTACTACGGTCCGTTCCAATAGACAGAAAAAAACAGCTATTAAAAATGATAATAAATAGTCTTAAGAGACCCCTTTACAAAACAAACACAGGTGTATTTAATTTATTAAGCAGTATTTAAAACTGGGTTTAATTGGGGGGGGTTCATTGGCAGATACTTTATAATATTCCTAATTAGTCAGTCTATGAATTAATCATTTCCTATTTCTTAGCTATGCAGCTGAAATGTGGGATTCCAGGAGTATGAAAAAGGTCAAATCTGCTACATGCATTTGCTAGTCTTGCAATAAAAGAAGATATTGGTAGGACTGCTGGATCTATTGTGTATATCTTTTGGAAAATGCTTCGCTGTGTTGCTAAACATAACTTAATGAGAGATGGTCAAACAACATTTGATCAATTCTAGATGATATGTTCGGGTGAAGAAGTGTCACAACCATTAGCTGGTGTCCTACCCGTTGCTATTGAAGGAGGAGCAGCCAGCCAAGAATTACAGTAATCCAGTCTAGAAGTAACAAACGCATGAACTAATTTTTCTGCATCACTTTGAGACAGCTTGTGATTTTCGATATATTACGTAGATGAAAAAAGGTCATCGTGAAGTCATAACGGATCTTTGTGATCTTGGAGAACTCTCCCTGTAAAACGTTAATATTGCTCCTTTATCAATGAGGAGAGCTGCCCTTTCTTTCCGGGGGGAGTGGCGAGCTAATCCAGCTGGCTTAAATGAGCCTGCACCCGAGCTGGTTCAAGTTTTTAGATGTGTTGCTATGGTGATTCTGCCATACTTCGGACAAGCTTCGAGACCCGAAAAGGCTGATCAATATAATCATATCCTGAAATTATCTGGCTAACACAGTTAGCCACGTTTGAGGAACAGGACCCTGCTCTTTGCTTTAGATGACATGAAACACTGTGATGGCTTACACGGTGCCTTGCATAAGCATTCACCCCCTTGGACTGTTAGGATATCTAATTCAAATAGACCTTTTCCCATTTAATCAAGACAACATGCATAGTAGTTTGAAGGTGCAAAACACCTTTCATTGGGACAAAAAAGAAGAATAAAAAGAAAATAGTGTATCTGTTGTCAAGATATTAACATAAGTTTTCACCCCCCTGAGTCAACACATGTAGAACCCCATTTTGCATCAATTACAGCTGCAAGTCTTTTGGGGGAGGGTTTTCACCAGCTTTGCACATCTAGAGATGGAAAGTACGTCCATTCTTCTTATTTAAAAAGCTGAAGCTCAGTCAGACTGAATGGAGACCGTGTGTGAACAGCAATGTTCAACTCTTGCCATAGATTCTCAATTGGGTTGAGGTCTGGGCTTTGACTGGGCCATTTTAAAACATTAGCATGCTTTGATCTAAACCATTCCATTGAACCTCTGGCTTATGTAAGTAGTCAGGTGAACAAGCAGCAGTAGTAGTAGGTAGTAACTTCTGAGAAAATGAGAAAGGCAACATTTTTACATATGAATTTTATTGTTTCTGGCTTTTGGGTTTGTATCCCGATGGTTGAATGCACTTGTAATTGTAAGTCGCTTTCGATAAAAGTGTCAGCTAAATGACATGTAATGATACTAGTATATTTATTTAATTACAGCTGTCTCGGTACTTCCATCGATGTAGAATATTCTGTCCTATCTAAGCTCTGGCTCAGGGGTTTAGGCCTTATGTCTCTCTCTGTCTGTCTTCTTCAGGGCTGAACAGAGGTTACACACAGCAGCAGACATGTTCCTGGAAGTGGTCCTAAAGAGAGATTTCCCAGAGTTCATCACCACCTACTTAATTCAGGACCACACCTTTCTCAGCTCCCAGCACACCGAACAGATGGAGACTCAGAACACAGATTTGCCCCAAGCCAAACTGTGAGCGTCCTCTGCCCAACAAGAAGATCACACTTTGAGAACATCCAATGCGGCTTTTAGAGATTGCAATAGACGTTTTAATTGATGTTTCTAATTGATTGTTTGAATAGATTGTAATCTATTTCATAGACAGTTAATCAGTCAGTTACAAAACGTGTTAATTTTGGCAGTCCCTATGGACAAAAACGGTAGTGTTCATGGGCACCACAGTCAGCTGTGCCTCCCTTCCCTCCAGCGGGTCCTGGCCTCTGCCCCTTCCAACCTCCGATCAATGTCTGATGAGCAGCACCCTGAAAATCCAGAAATATTTGCCGACCACATTAACTTTGGATTTAGCAGAGTACAGTTGTTTAATGACCAATGTAATGCATGATCTTCATCAGAGGAAGTTCCTTATATTAAACTGAGGATCAGTGCATCTGGACTGTGACAGAGGAAAAGACACTAACACACACTTTCACTGACAAGCTGTTTTTTTAAAACAATTTGGTAAGGAGGTTTACTTTTCATTTGTGAGTGTTAAAAGTAACATTGGAAAATGCCGGTTACATAAACAACATTTTTTATTAAGCACTTTGCTTTAGAGCCAACTGTGATCTTTTCCTAAACCTAATCAAGTTAACCTATGAACTAAACTTAAACTGTGTTGTAAATTTAATTTGAAAAGAGTCTGGCTGCAATAAAGGCTACAAATCTGAATTCTGAAGTTATTTTTGAAACTGCTCTGAGTGCACGATTTAAAAAATATTTTGAATGATGATGAGAGTTGGATCTACTCTTGCCAACAAAATTGTTGTGCCTGATAACAAAATAGATGTGTTTGATAACCTTATTAAGGATAACAGAAAACCCCCATCCCTTAGTGGGGTAAATAAAATTAGATATAACTGGAATTGTAAAGAACTTCAAAGACAAAAGATAATCTGATTATATATTCTATCGACAATGTAATCATTAAAGAAGTAATTGACTTTATAGTAGGACCTCTGGGCATAATATAATATGAAAACAGCAGGTAATACCAATGTTTAAAAATGGAGATAGGCTTTACATGGAATATACCAATATCACTACTTCCCCAGTTTTACAAAATTATTAGAGAAATTATTTGTGCAAAGATTGGAACTCTGAAAATGAAATATTGAATGAACATCAGTATGGATTTAGTATAAATAGAATTACTACCCATGCACTAATGGAAGAAATAACAGGTAGTTGAAAATGACGAGTATTCTATTGGTTTTTATGGTGACCTCCAGAAGGCATTTGATACAATAGAAAACAGCAAATTAATCGCTTAAAGGAACCTTTCATTGCTGTGTCACGTTGTGTAAGAATATAAGTACTTTTTTATTTTTAAAAGGACCGATTTATGAAGCTATTTTTGAGGGTGCAAATGAAAGGTCTATTGGTATGGATGTATTTACTTTCTCCTTTCTTCCTGCTTCTTTCCTCTACATCAATATTTTCCTGAGAGCAACTTATTTGATAAGAATGTAGGATAGGAATATATAAGCATTATGCTTCTGCTTATACCTTTTCAGTCATAATGTATATTAGTTTGTATATATGCTTCACACATTGTTTTGTACCTAATGAACTAACTAACTTTCAGCAGACCACTAAATATGACAGTAGCCTGCAGTGGGAACACAAAGCCAGCTAGAAGATCAGGGGGTTGAAACCGAGCGGCCTATTACACCTTTTTACCAGGGGTCAACAACCTTTCTACAAAGGGCCATTCTGACAAATTTTCCAACCAAATAAAATTTGTCTGGAGCCGCAAAAGCTGTTTCATATCACGGCCAATTCTTGACATTTTATTACAATATCAAACTCCTATGAAGATGAGAAAAACCTACACTGGCATGTCTAGGCCATCATTGAGGTCAATAAAATACAGAAACTATTCAGGCCTTCCGTCCTCCCCATACTTTTAGAAAATAATGCATAATAACTGGAGCCTGATATCATAAAAAGAGTAAACCTATAACATCCTGTTAACCATAGATGTGTTTCTTGTTTAATTTTGTCACTAATCTCCCTTTTCATTTCAGTTCCTGTTCTCGCGTTCCCCCTAATCCACTATACCTGCCCCAGGTTTACCCCCCTAACAACCACACATACTGTATACTCCTCTGCTTGCCAGATTGTTTTTGTGTAGTCCTCAGTGTTTCCTTCTAGTGTTTACTTCTGTGGTTTATGACTTTGCCTCTTTGCCTCCATTGACAGAACTTGTATGTATGACTACTTCAAGTGTGTTTTCCTCTGGTCCTGAGTCTGTTCCAAACCAGAACCGTTACTAGACTTAGATAAGACTAAAGCCCTCAAACGTAGCGCCTGAACACAAAGGTCTGAGAATAGATGCTCAGATACTCGAATGAACCATCTGTGAGCGTCTTTCCACATCTGTCTCATGAGCTGCAGTAGTCTGGTGTGGAGACATGAGTCTTCAAAAGTATTGTAATGGACATGGATATGGATATATTTTCAATAAGTTGTTTGAGGTAAGAATAATAGTTATCACATTCACTGAGTTTAGGAGGTCAGTGAAGGTCTCATGTTCATATTGTCATCATCCTATCTACCTATTCGGATGGGGGTACACGTGAGGGCGCCTGTGATTTGCAGAGGGAGAGAGGGGGGGGCAGGGCTGTAGTGGAGGGTAAACGCACGTAAACGCCGTTTACGCACCTCTTGAATTTTGGAAATAGCGTTTACGCACCTATAAAGAGCGTTTACGCACCTCAAAGTTCCCTGCGCCTTGTATAATTCCGTTGGAATAATCCGAAATAAACTTGGTGTAATTTTAAAACAGCTAAGACTACGTTTCCTATTGTTGAACACATAAACGCCGTAGTCTGAATCATTTTCATCTGCGCTGTATTACGGTCTGTGAGCATCCAATCAGCGCCCTGCGGCTGCAGCAGCGACACCAATCAGGATCCAGGAGGTGTTTAAACACACGTTGTGGATCAGCCCAGTGGTCCCCAACCTTTTTACCTCACGGACCGGTTTCATGTCAGACAATATTTCGCGGACCGGTCGAGAACGTCCGACGGGGGGGGTAGTAGTCGCGCGCTCTGTGTTCGCTGTCGTGCACGGTAAAAGGACAAGAAAAACGCCTGGTGACGCGTAGATTAGAAAACAAGTCAGTTCTCAATGTGGAAAAAACCCCATGCTGTATAGGCTATTTATGATGACGTAGGTAGTACATGAGTGTTCCTTTAACTTACGTTGTCAGTGTAATTGACAGGCTGCTTAACTGGTTAACTCTTAAATTCAACATATGTTTTCAGGCAGTGAGAGGACAGGCAATGATGCAGAGAGCACAGGGAGAGGAGAAACACCAGGTCCAATAGAGAGAGGAGAAGCACAGAACGCGTGTTCTGGGGTTCATGGCTCCTCTGTGCAAGGCAGGACCTGACATGGAGGACAAGGAGGCCCTCTGGGCACTACTGTGAAAAGGAGACTCCATATGTAGATAGTTCTTAATCTGCAATTGTGTTGTTGTGTTGTGTTGACATACTTTTCTTTACTGTTTTCTTAAATTTAATAAACTACAAACTACTAACACATTTATTCATTATCATTGATTGTATATGACTTTTACTGATAACATAATGCAATATAGCCAGGACGGCCTTACAGAGTCGCAACGCTTTGTGTTGCGTTGCTTCGCATCGCGTCGAGGTCTGTATGATCACAAAATTCTGAGTTTACCCACCTCTAATTTTACCACTACAGCACTGGGGGGTGTACTAGTGTGGTAATGCTAGATGTTTGTAGATTAGTGTGTGACTGGGAGCTGATGTTCCAGCATATTCTGCAAGTCTGCAGATTGGGATCAGCCACACGCAGGGAAAGGGGCTTGACAGCGGTGTGTTATTATCTGATGCACATCTTGGTTGACAAAACGCTTTTTCAGTGACACTCCAACATCGATAGCAGAAAGATCCACTGGAAAAATATCTTATTTGTTCCCATGTTGTTTTTTGTCGGAGCCTCAGGCAAAAATGTGCTGAAGAGCCACATGCAGCTCCAGAGCTACAGGTTGACGGGCCCTACACTATACCAACATGTACACTGATCTTAATGATCCCTTATTGTAATGAGTGCAGCAGTCCGATTATAAACATCCATTGGATTATTTTAAAGGAGAATTGTACGTTTTAGGACACACGGTTAATTAAAATGCCTTTCCTGACTGATTAGAAGGTTTTTTTAATAAAAAATCATTCAACCTTATTCATAATTTAATTATTTGACCCCTGATACTGTTACTGATAGGTTTATAATGACCCGCGGCATTGATGGTGAACAATTCATTGCTGACACAGTCACAGGTTGTGTTTCATGGTCTGGAAGAAGACGCTGTTCGCTGGGCATAAACTGAGTTCCATTTGAGACAACACTCTAGACAAGTAAGTCAATTATTAATTAAGTAGTCACCACTACTAGTAACACCAACAATTTTGTTAGCATGAGTGGATGGTGTGATAAGGGCTGTGTCCTAAATCCCTGTTCATTTCAGATGTGCATGTTCACAGTGTTTTGGATGATTGTAATCATTTGAATAACCCTAAACAAGTGGGTTACGTTAGCTACTAACGTGTTGCATTGCTCTACAAGCTACACTACCTACTTTACAAGTAAAGAAAATCCAACACCAGCGGGCGGTAGCACAGTTTTGCATTTTACAGCTACATTAGAGCATGTTGGAAGACTACAGTGGACTCCAATAAAAGAAGTTGAAGGCTCTCTCTGGAGCCAGCCTTCGGCCTGTCCATTCTGGGCTACTGAAGGAACATGTCATTTACACAAACACAAACATTGCCTTAAGCGCATTAACCTCTTATTGAGCAAAAACATTTGAAAATAAAACAAGAGTTTTACACCTTTTGTACATTGTATTTTAGAAGAAGACTAGGAATAGTCCGACAGTAAAATATGTTCAAAACAGTGGCCTTGTTTACTTTTGTGAGTTTTGTTCTTTAAATTCATATCCTAGGCAGAAAGTGTGTCACTGTCATGGTGGGTGTGACCCGGTTGCCTCTCTTGGTTTTGCCAGTCTTGCTGAGGCCGATGTACATCCCGGGGTAGGCGGCAGATTCATAGGCATTATAGTTGTTGGCCAGGAGATTCTCCTTGAACTTACATTCATCGTTGTATCGACCCTGTGGAGAAGAAGATAATAAAGTCAATACTACATTGTTTTAGTTTCTTAAAATGTAAGAACGCTACTTGATTGTGTGAGCATTCATGCAGTGTCCTTCACTGATTGGTCACACCTCTAGAAAACGTTTGACAACTGCCTTGGATATCAATGGACTACCAAAGGTTAATCCAACATGAATAATGTTTTCTAGGCATTAGTGAACGTAGAAGTGTGAATGTAGCCCTAGTGCAAGTCAGTGTTCCTCACCAGTTACTGGTTACTGTGCTCATACACTAGTTACTGCTGATAACAACATTAAATAGACACGCAAAAACCCACCTTTTGATGGGGGGGCGCTAAATTAATGTGCCATACTGTAACAAAATGATTTGTCTTGATTTACTAGTGCTGGCAGTTCTTCAAAATGCTGCAATTTTTTTATTTTACGATGGTGTTTTATGGGTACTTAATCTCCCCTTATTCTATAAATGATAACATATACTATTACAAAGAAACAACTCATTGGCATGGCAGCCTTACTCAGAGGTCTGGGGGCAGTTCCAACCAAAGGTCAATCTTACTTCCCCTACCCCAACCAAACCCCCTACCTTTGTGCATAGAGGCCCGCTGTTAGACGAGTAACTGGATGACTAACCGTTGGATGACTAACTGGTGTTTAGATTATGGCTCAGTCAGCATTCAAAACAATTTTAACAAGAGCTGATCATTCCCATGTTTGGGCAGTCGCTACCAAATAAACCATTAGACCTATGCCTTCGGCAAGAGGAAAATGACCAACAGACACAGCTGACTCTGTGTATTTTACGTCATCTCGGTATTAATAATTCTTGGTCATTTTAAATAAATTATATTATCTGATTATACTGTATGAGGGAAAACAAAGTTGCCTGTTAATTTAATCCTAATGAAATACAGTTAATTGTCTATAATCTGTTCATTGGGCTGAATTAATTTGTTTTCTGGCTGGGTCACAAGCTCACTACCACAGCACACTGGTTACCAGTAAATAGATCAAAATAGTATTCAGGACACATCTTCACAGTGCTAACGGGGAACACACCTCAGAGGTGAAGTGAATAAAATGAGCATATTCCGATTGAGCAATGATGAGATCTAAAACTGCTGAATATTTAAAAATATTAAATATTGATAGAAATGAATTGAAATATGTCAATAATATGGTCATATAAATGGTGATTGTTAAATGTGACTAGTATACACAAAGGTATGCCATTAAAAAGGAATCGACATATTAATGAATAATTAATAAAAAAAAGATTAAAACATAAATTGCGATTCTTTGCAGTTATCTCTACAAAGGTTGATTTAGGTACAGTGGCTCAAATAATAATTTCATCCCTTGCCGGTTTTGGTAGGTTTATTTTAACAAGGAGAGACACAATAAATGAATAAAGTCCTGAAAATCCCATGATATGAAAGTTAGAAATCTGCATTTGATTTTGTGAATTCTGATCCCCTGGCAACCAGCAAACATTCTGGCTTCCACAGACGGGGTAGACCTGTTATTTTGCTTCATAGTACATAGTTCATAGTACATAATACACTGTCACAGAATCAGTTTTTCAGATTCCAACCTCTCTACCGTCGATGTCAGGGACAAGATTATAGACCTGCACAATAGTGGAATGGGTGACAACACTGTTGACAAGCATCTTGGTGAGAAGGAGACTGCAATTATTACATTAATTATTCAGAAATGGAAGAAACACAAAATTATCATTGAGTAATGCAAGATCTCATGAGAAAAGATAAGGGATCAGCCCAGAACTACCCAAGAGGTACTAGTCAGACAGCGGGAGAAGAAGAAAACCATTGGTAACAGACTCTAATGGATTAAAATCCTACAGCGCCCGCAAAATCCCCCTGTTCACGAAGGCACATGTACAGGCCCGTCTGAAGTCTGCCAATTTACACCTGAAATATTCAGAGAAGGCTTGGGAGAAGATGATGTGGTCACCCAACATGGTTGGACCATTCATTTCTTTGTCTCTGGGCATACTAAGAAACCTTTCATTTTAATGTTAATCATGATAAAATCCCATGCAGTAACACTGGAATATCGTTGTGCACTGGCTGCAGAATCAAAATACTTTGCTGCATTTAGATGACTGATGGGATTTATTTAACCAAGTTAAGTTTTCATACATACAAAGTTAAAGATAAAACCACCTCTATCGTGCCAGTGCCAAAGAACTCCACCGCAGTGAGCCTAAATGACTTCCGCCCAGTTGCACTCACTCCAACCATCATGAAGTGCTTCGAGAGGCTGGTCCTGGCTCACCTCAAAACCTGCTTATCACCCACACTGGACCCCTTCCAATTCGCCTACCGCAAGAACAGGAGTGTGGAGGATGCCATCTCCACGGCATCACACTCCGCCCTTTTTCACCTTGACAATAACAACAGCTATGTGAGGGTGCTGTTCAGACTTCAGTTCAGCTTTCAACACTGTCATCCCCTCCAAACTAATCACGAAACTCAGCCACCTGGATATCAACACTGCCCAACGCATCACCGGTTCCTCACTCCACCATTGAGGCTGTCCAGAGCAAGAGATGTCTGCGGAGGGCACGCAGGATCGAAAAGGACCGCTCTCACCCCAGCCAAAGACTGATTGCCCTTCTCCCCTCTGGGAGGCGCTACAGGGTGCTCCGTTCCCGGACCAGCAGGTTCAGGAACAGCTTCATCACTGGGGCTGTCACCCTACTGAACTCCCACCCCCACACACATCTCCCTCAGTGACTGTACTTCCCCCCTCCACCCTGGCTTGACTGCCACACACCCTCCTCCAGCCAATGAACATTTGCACTGTTATTGCATATCCATTTCTTACTGTTCATATTGCATAACTATTTCTAACTGTACATATCTATTTATTCACTTATTACACTTTACATATGCACATACTCTGCACTTTTTGCTATTTTGCACTTCTGGTTGGATGTTAAACTGCATTTCGTTGCCTCAGTACTTGTACGCTGTGCAATGACAATAAAGTTGAATCTAATCTAAATCTAAGTAGCTGTGGACAGCAAATACTTACTCATTAAAAGCACTGATTTAATGTGAATTGTTTAATTAAATACATCATTAAAATGAAATACATTTAATCTTATCCTAGTTCTCCCATTGACAATCTAGCAACCTAGCAACCCATAAGTAACAAACTTTGGTGACGAGGTTACAGTATTAATACATGGATTGTTTCATTTCAGTTCACACATCTTGTCATCAAATGCTGATCAGTTCTTACCGAGCCGTAGAGTTTCCCTTTGTTGCTCATGGCAATAAAGAGGCCGCTTCTCACTCCAAACAGAGTGACCACTCCTCTCTCCACTGGGGACATCTCCAGAATGCCTGGGATGAGACAAGGAAAGAATCAGCAGAATCTAGACTATTTAAATGAGAGACCAACAACGATCGTCTCACAAGTGCTGTAGAGAAGTGTTTATATTTTGTCACATCAGATGTTGGTTAACCATATCACCTGAGTCGGTAAATACATTGTTTGTCACTAATCAGTCAGTACTCAATATTTATTTTAATTATATGTAGGAAAACTTTATTTAACTCATTGCGTCCTGCCATTTTGTCCTACAATCAATGACTAAGTGGAGACCCGTTATGAAGGTGCTTCTACCAATCCACTGAAGACACTACTAGTTTCCTGTAACTGTGTGTGCCCATTACAGCCGACTGTGTCTGAAATGAGGCCCATTTTCATGGAAAAAGCACTTTCACGCAGAATGAATGCATAACATTTAATTAAAATTAGGGCTGTCAACAAAAACACTTTAGTCTATGCGATTAATGTGGCCGAATTAATGCAACTAAATATTTTAACATACGTTTGGTTACTTCTGGTTTACTGGAAGCTGACCGCGGAAACAACATGGCCGTATAAAACATATTCGACCTTTTATGGATATTTTGAAAACATTTAGGTCTCTTTTTATCTTTTTTTGCATGTCTAGAAGGTGAAGTGTTAAAAAAAATGTATGACTCAATAGGCTGAGATCCGGTGTGTCAGGGAGCCAAGGAGAGAAAGCAGAGATGTTTGAACCTTCCCACCAGATAAAGGTAGTCTGTGTGAATATTTAATTTATTAAGCCTGAAATTGCTTATGAAACAGAATTTAGGAATAAAACCTCTGAGAATGTGGTGAAATATGAGGATCCAGTAATAGTAATAACAGAGATTTAGAAAAGTAAAATAGATTGTTATGGAACACAAGTTTGGTTTTTACCTCCCCTCCCCTACATTTTGCAATCCAGCCCTAACAATCTGCCTGTCCACTTCAAGTTATTTACATCCTGAGATAAAGAAATTAAGGAGGATTTATTTTCCCAAGTGAATTCCATATTATCAATTCACAGCAATCCACAAGTTATACCTGTATTTAATTGTTGAAATGAACACATTAATTACTCATTCTGATTTAACTATTCATACAGGAATGGATGGTCCCGATGGCCAGAAGAAAAGTTGCAAATTTAGTTAATCCAGTTCGAAAACTAATGACCACATTTCTATTCCTTTTTTTTACATTGAATTGAGTATTTTCAGTATATTCTCAGAGGGAAAGAGAAAACAACTTACTGTATCTGTTTTCATTGTGCACGCCTGTGATCTTCCCATTTGGTAAGACCTGAATGTGGAAGCCAATGCCCACATTACAGTAAAGTCTTCTTAGCCTCTTTATCCCCAGCAGGTATTCTCCATCTCTAGCAGTCACCTCTCTCTTGTCCCAGCAGCTGCCGAAGGCACGCACCAATTGCCCGGCGCTCCGTATGCTATGTCTCTTACTGCTGATAACTGGGAGAGGAGCAAAGGAGCTGCACAGCAGGATACCAAACAGGAGCAGAGGGAACTTCGACCTTGACGATGACATCCTGTGCTCACCAAACCCAGAAATCGTGGAGATACACGACGATTGTGTAAGACCAATTCAATGTTCAATTTGAACAAAATTTTTCATAAGATTGTTTCAGCTTCAGTTGCTGTGAGGGAAAATCATGAAGAAAATGCCTCAACCTCTGCATTCTTTAAAGCCCTGAGTAAAGCGTATACGTATGCTTATTTAGACACCTCTAGAAGCTGAACCCATTTAGGTGTCCAGTTTGCCAGAGAGTGGTCTCCTGTTTCCTTCTCAGGTAGATCCAGTAGACAGACTACTTATATGTAGCCCATATTACATCACACACCACCTGCTGTCTTGTTTGTCTGTGAGTCACAGATGCTGTAGAAGCACACAAACTGAGAAATACATTAAACACATAGTGACAGAAAACAAAGAGAAACACGCAAGGACAAAGAAACCGAGTAGTAAATAAGTTGATGAAGAGATCAAGTAGAGGGATGGATGTACTGGACCCCTTTGTGAATGTCCTCTAAATCAGCGTGTTACCAATACGTATAGCACAGTTATATAATTCTGTGAAAAGATTTTAATGATAAAGTTACTGGGCTGTTTCAAACTGCTGAGCATCCAATAATCATGGTCACAGACTGCCTTACTACAATAAGAAGATTTATTGTCATTTGCATCTGGTAAATGTGAGCCCTCATATGTGAGCATAAAATATGCAGGAAGACAAAGTATTTAACCACTGAATGTGTAGTTACTGAACAACACAGCTTATTATGATAATTGCATTAGCCGTTTTCTTTTAGAACTTGTCTTCTTTGATATTCTATGTGCAATAAATTATTATTCATTATGTTTTTTTAATGTTTTTTGTTTAGTTTGGTTGTTGGTTATTTTACACTAAACATGTTATAATGCTGTCTTGATCAGGACTCACTGGACACATCAATGGAAATAACTTTAAAACCCCAATATACAGTCATGAAAGGGCTTTTGTACTCAGTTGTTTGCACCTGACGCCATAAGGAAAACAACAATGGTCCCTCAGCCATGGTTGCAACTAAGAGTCTCGGCATTACAGCTTCTCTACTGAATACAGTTTATTGATAAATTTAACACAGTCAAAAAATAAGTTAGTAAAACACCTTCTACACTGACAAACACGATTTTATTCGTACTGGACAAACACAGAATTCTATCATGCATCAGAAAAGCAGTGGTTTATAGCGGACTATATATTTACTTGTCCTGACCTGCTGTGATAAGGCCGGCTAAAGCTGATCTTTATGCTGCCTATCTGGAACTTCTAACTCCATCATTCCTTGCGATTCTACCGGTTCTATTCTGTGGAGGTACCGGTAACACTATAATGGTCCCTATTAAACCCAAAGTGAACATTACTCTTATTTGCTGCACTTTTTCATGGCATCATTAAGTTATAGTTACTCAAAGGGAAGTTCTTCTACTTTGTTGATCAGCACAAAAGAAACCCCTTTTTTCTCTCCTTCATACTTTATTGGTGTAATGATGGAGACCTTTCATCAGTCTCAGCAAAAGAAAAGCACAGCAGATAAAAAAATAGAAGAATCACAAAAGCAAGGCAGAGCTACAGTTGTTTCAGAGCCTCAGCAGATGCCATTCGACACACATACTTCCCCACACGTATATTCACACTCCGTGAACCGGCAACTTCCTGGAGCCCTTCAAGGATTTCCTACTTTTTCTGTTGAACATCTTTATCAACCTCGGGGTGTAGAGAAGATTACAGACTATATCTACTTCTTGATACCTGGGATTTGTGGAGATGGTATATTCATATGTTTATATATATATGTTTCCTGGATAAAATGATTTCATGTATAGCCGCATGTCATCATACCTATGCTGGCTGTCAAGGTGGTGTCCAGCAAACAATGTGGACTTTGTTGATCATTCACAAAGGTTACAGCTAGAACCTGGTCTGATTAGGCGTGACGGATCTCAGATGTAAAAGCCACAACTGGGTTCCAAATAGATGAGCGGTCTGGCTTGTAAAGCCTCATAAATATTGCAGTGGGATGCACCACATTGTACCTGAGAAAAATAGATAAAGTACATAATCCATGTCTGATGTTTTGTGGCCAAATTCAAATGCATTGTTGTGCAATAAACTGCTTTTAACTGTCAAAAACATTTATGTCCTTTGATTTAATTTTTCGATGCACTCTGTTTATTATTATTGTGCATATGTATTTGTTTGCATAGCAAAGCACATATCAATTTTTATCAATAAATAAAACAGACACCAACACTTGCATTGAAGTACATAATGTTTGATAATCCATTGAATTATTTGTATGGCATATATTCAAAAACAGTACAAAGTCTGGTATATGATATCGATTACTGATCTGATCTTAAATTCTTTTATTTGGTGTTTTGTGGTCTGGAAGGCACAACATGTAGCAGTGTAAAAAGGTTAAGGTGTCTGCGTAGTTGTGTGAAAAGTATATTTCCAATGTTTTCTTTGATGCCAACATATTATGTTATATATAGTTGTAAATACCAAAAGAATATGATTGTGTTAAAATACAGCAATTTCAATGGAGCACAGTGTTTCATACATACATTTATGATAGTCACTTTTCCAGTACATAGTTGTGTCTTCTCTTTGTTAATCCAGATGCTACTGGGCAGCATACAAATAACCGAAGCATAAAGACACATTGTAAACCACAATGTGATTCATGCAAACAAATCTCGTCGGCACATACGCACACATTAACTCAGAGCAGTAGAGGGTTTATATCATGTGACATGTGGTGCGTCACAGCACTGCTCATGTAGGACTCACAGAGAGAGACGGAGGCAATGATAGGTCATGTGTGTACACATGTGAAGGACTGGTCTCCCCACTGGGGGAAACCCCCGTAGTAACTGTGACGTGGGTAACCATTTATCAGCATTTGCTCTGACACCAAATCTCGTCAACAGCGTTTCCCCCAAGCCATGTGGGAGGAAATGTGACAGTCGAGGGTCTTAAAATAAATTCAGGTAATCTGGGTCCATGTATGTACGCTAGGTACTATGGAATGGATGCATTGATGAATTATTTTTCTCTTTCTGTCTCTATATTTTCCCCTCTGAACAAAGCAGTAACCCTCAATTTGTCAGTGGTACCCTTACTCCAGAAAAGCAGGTCCCATAGGCCAGATGGTAACACATGCATTTACATATTGTTTTAGAAAGTTTCATTCACGGACAGTAGGACTCAAGCAGATTTCAAAAAATAAAAATAAAAAGTAGAATACCAAATGCCTAGGGGCAAAGAGGGACTAAGAGACAAGGCAAACCAACACACACTATGCAACACAACATACTGACATTGACTATGAACTTCAGAGACAATGGACATACATGGTCTAGGTGCAGGTGATTGGACACAGGAAGAAACAATCAGGGACACGGCAGACAATCGCGCTCACAAGGTAAAATACACCCGGGCAGGATCAGGGGTTAACCCAGGGACACGAGAAGCAGAAAACTACAAAATAGAGCAGAAAAGAATGAACCCACACCGTGACAGTTTCAGTCTTCTGATGCTTGTGCACCAAGACCGCAAAATATTGCCAAAATCTTGTGAATATGTTTTCAGACTTTTTGAGCCTGCTTCATTCTGCTGCGATGCTGACATGAGCACAGACATTTTTAGGTTCCAGGATTGGCTCAGGCATTCACAAATCCTCTAGTTTGGATTAAAACCTTTTCCTACAGCCTTTTAGTGATTTATTTTTTTGTCGGGGGTCTCATGTGTCTTGCAACCACCTAAAAAGAAATGACATTTGTTTTGAAATCTGGGGGAGAACCAGAGAGATCCTTCTATTTAGTAATTTTGTTAGCAACAATATCATACACACAGGCTTATTTTTTTCATCCTGTAATAAAATAAAATAATGTAAATCATTGTCAATGAATAAAAACCACAAAGACTTCAAAGGGACAATGCAAACCTCAATAACGGAAGCAAAAAACAAATAAGTATCTTGAAAACAATCTAATCTGAAAAAGGACATCTGATGAAATGCAAATATATAGAAATGATGAGGACTTACTGGCTGTGGTCGAGGAAAGTTGCTGCTTAAAAGGACATTTTCTCACGCTAATGGAGAATGCTAATGGGAATGGATCTTTCGGACGATACACAAAATCCGATACAATCGTTGTCCCTACTTCCAATAAAAAGACTATGTTGTGCGAACATGGCTAATGAAAATGGAGATTCCACGGGCAGTTTGGCATCACTCTAATCTGGGGGGGCGGACTTCTTTTTTAACTTTTGATCACGTTATCTTTTAAACAATACAAGGTTGAGTCTCGAAATTTCTCAGGATTTTAGATTTAGGGACGTACCTATTATTGTCACGGTTTGCAGATAAAATCATTCTTCTAAAACCAGGCCCTCCAGGCTAGAGTGTATTTTGCTGAGGAGGGGTTCTAGGGAGAGTGCATAGAGCATCCTTGACAGAGCACAACCTGCCGGACTCCTCTACGCACTCTAAAAGGAGCACACAGACTACAGTTTATCTTCAGCACACTCTCAATGTCCCTGTACAACACCTTGATCTTAGCTATGAAACCAGTGCTGAACCCAAACCTCCCCATGACTTTCCAGAGGAAGTTGTGCTCAACCTGGTGAAAAGCCTTTTCCTGGTCTAGAGAAATTAGACCAGTATTATTACCCAATGAGCTGGAGACCTCCAAAACATCTCGAATGAGGTAGACATTGTCTACCATGGACCTGCCGGGCACACAGTAGGTCTGGTCCCGATGGATGACCTGCTCCATAGCTTCCCTCAGCCTGGAGGCAAAGACTTTGGACAGGAGCTTGTAATCCACACACAGCAGGGACACAGGGCGCGGGGATGCTGATGTCCTGCAGGTTTCCCTTTTATGGTAGTAGCGTTATTACGGCTCTGCGGCAGGACATCGGCATGGAACCAGAGGCCAGACTGTCATTAAGCACCTCCAGGAGAAAAACACCCCAAAAAACATTGAACCCACCTCAATGTGAAACCCAACAAACTAACCACACTAAAGTAATACACATAAACTGGAAAAGAACTAAAAGTTCGAGCTCACTCAATGACTCACACACACACACATTCAAGCCTAGTTTATGCTTCTTCCAGAGCGACGCAAGGGAACGCAGACGCAAGAGCCCCTTGCGTGTCCCTTGCATGCTTTTTCAAACCTCCTTGCGTGCGTTGACCCATTTTATAGCCTCCTGCAGCGCACCAGGCTGCGATTGGTCTGCTAACTACATCTTGGCGGACTACAAAGACGTGCAGATGGCGTCCAATTCATGGAGGGAGATCTCCGCAAACGTTGGTTTGCCGGTCGAGGGTTGCACCAAGTTGTGGAGGAGATTACGGGACAAATATGTCTGTGTGAAAAAGTCGATAAAAAGCAGCAGTGGCGATGCAGGGGGCAAAAAAGAAAAAAAACAGCTTTTTATGGATTCCTATCGTGGCTGGGCCCACACATCAAACATCGGGCGACGTCGTCCAACTACGACAAGGTAAATATAAAGTTCTTGATTGGCCTTTGTGTGTTCGAGCTAGTACGCTAGCAGTGTAATCAGAGTGGGAGAGTTCAGTTGGACTATGCTTTAACATATTGTAAACGAGATAAATGGTGGTAAATAGATGTAGAATTGTAGATGTAATGCAATTGCCTGTAAAGTTTGCCATTGTAGCTACAAGCTGTTTCCAAATCCCTAAAGAACGGTGGGCGATGCAAAGATGATGCAAGATGTAAATGCATGAACAAAGAGCAAAGGTCTGTTCTTAAAGTGTCCACATTGTTGATGTTAGGAATGCAGTTATGTTACTTCTAGCATTGTAGCCATATGCGATTTCCTAACTAACTCTATGTTATTTTATCATCATGAACAGCCCTCAACTGCCAGCATGGCCATTGACAAAGGACCATCGCCGTCCACCGAGTCATCCACCTCCTCATCACCTGAGGCCTCTTCCGAGCCATCCATCCCCTAATGTCCTGAGACTTCCCCCGAACCATCCATCCCCTCACCTGAGTTGGTTTGTATTTTGTATCGTTCATGTACTTTTGCTTTTACTTGTTTTGCACCTTGACCTTGTACTTTTATTACTTATTTGTCAACATTTATGTAAATAAAACAACAAATAAGTATTGACACATTTGCTTCATCGGTGTTTGCCAGGTAGTTGTGGAGAACTACACAAGGCTCATCCACAGCCTTCTCTGGAAGGAACTCAAGCGTCCTCCCGAGAATTCCCCACCGTGTCGCCATGATACCAAAGGTATTTTCAATGATCCTCCTGGCTCTGGATAGTGTGTAGTTGAGATTCTGCTTCTCCCTGCTCAGATTTGCCCCTGATAATACAACAAAAGATGCAGTGTTACCGAATGGAACATAGTAGCACCACAATCACAGATAAGATACAACGTTCATTCAAATATGTATGCAACATGCTATGCAATTCATTATGGTTTTAAGACATACCTGGAAATGGACGCATGATGTTGTTGTGCAGGAGGAAAGCGACAATCATGTGTGGGGCATTGGTCGTGGTCCTAGGAAGGAACGCTGATGGCGGCAGGTTCATCTTCTGGTCGAACAGCATTTTGCCAAAACTGCTCTCTTTGAAAATGCCGCCGTTGCTTTCCACAAAGCCTGGCAGACCTCGGAAACAATTCTGGACATCGTGCTGGATTAAAGTTTGTAGCTCGCAGCTACAGCCTGTTGGGTTCCACCCGAGGCTAAAATCTGTATGGCCACAGCCAGTCTCTGGGCGACATCGATAGGCGTGCTGTGTGTGCCCTGATGCCGTATGTGCGGTTGCACACGACAAAGAAGGTCGTCGAACCGGCCAGCCGACATGCGGAAATACTTAAAGTGCATCTCTTCGTCCATATTCCTCATAGGTTGGACAAGAGACGAATATTCACCCGTCTGCGGCCTAGGTTGATTTAGTGGCCGTACAGACCTCCGCCTCCTCTTCTGTTCTTGGCGATTCATTAAAAGAAGTTGCTCTTCAATGTTCAGCAGCTCCAACGCCATCAACTGTTTTTGTGTGTCTTGCCTCTCTGCTATCTTCCAAGGTGTATGTGGACAGCAAGACCGAGTAAACAAAGACATCGTTATCTAGGTCATCTTCGACAAAAACACGTTACTCCACCTAGTGTTCTGGCAGGGAATTGCTCTGCAACACACGCAAGCCTTTTAGAAGCATGAATTGAAACGAGTGCGTCGACACAACAACGCAGACGCAGCAGCATGTGCCGGCCTTTACTTGGGGTAAGGACACATTCCCTACCAGGCAATACAACGGTTTCCTGCGGAGAACCATGGCCTCAGATTAGAGGTTCTAATCCTCTTCACACTTGGCTGCGAACCACTCCGGTGAGAGTTGGAGGTCACAGACAGAGGGTGCCATGTAGACCCTCCTGCCCCCGACTACGTCTCGGTATCCTGTCCATGAAAACCACAAACAGGATTGGTGAAAAGGCGCAGCCCTTGCGAAGGCCAACTCCCACCAGAAACGCCTCCGACTTACTGTCGAGTACCCGAACGCAGCTCTCGCTTTGGGTGTGTAGGGACTCCCTCACCCTGTACTCCTGCAGCACCGCCCACATTATCTCTCCGGGGACCCGGTCATAGGCCTTCTCCAGGTCTACAAAACACATGTAGACTGGATGAGCATACTCCCAGGCCCCCTTCATAATACTTGAAAGAGTAAAGAGCTGTTCCCTCGTTCCACGCCCTGGACAGGAACCGCATAGTTCCTCATCCTTAGTTCGACTATCGGCCGAACCCTCCTTTCCAGCACCTTGGAGTAGACTTTACCAGGGAGGCGGAGTAGTGTGATACCCCTGTAATTGGCACACACTCTGGTCCACCTTTTTGAACCTTTTTGAAGAGAGGTACCACCCCAGGTCTGCCACTCTTTTGACATTGTCTCAGACTTTCACGCAATGTTGAAGTGGCACGTCATCCATGACCACATCCATTGCTTTCAGTATCTCATCTGCTTTGACGGATCTCATCAATTCCCGGGACTTTGCCACTGCGGCAAATTGACGATGATCCCGGAACTGTCTGCTTTGCGGGCGGGCGTGCGCCTGTACTAACTGTATATTGCATGAATAAAATAGACTAGATAGGCTACAACAGCTTCATGCACTGCTTTGATTATTTGCCGTTTCATACCAAGGAAAAGTTATGTGTTTACAGCACAGCTCGCTCGGAGCGTTCAATGTCGGTATTGTAAAATGTTCAGTTTCAATCACTGAAGGAAGCCTGCCATATTTGGGACAAGAATCGCGACCTTAAATTGCTTGCACAAAACTCAGCACTCTGCATTTTTTTATTGGTGTCGTTCATTTAAGCCTCTTGTCACGACCGGACGGTGGACGGGAACCCAAATGCACGACTCACACAACGTGGTGCGAAAAAAGAATCAAAGTTTATTAACAAAAGGACAGGGCATGGCCGCTGAAATAAAAATCACTCGTGGGCGAGGAAAAAACCGATCTAGAGACAAAAACTGGAAGCAGGCTCAATTAAGGTGTCGACAAAAAACGAGGCAAGACTGTGGACATACGTAGCGCTGGCACGGTGGCTTGGGACAAGACGAACTGGCACAGGACAGAGGGAGACTCAGACAATATATACACACACATAGGGGAAGTGCACAGGTGGAGACAATCAGGGGAGGGGCGGCAATCACACCGACACAAGAGGAAGGGGAAAGTTGCCTGAAACAAGGGGAAGGTTCATTTTCCAAAATAAAACAGGAACTCACGAGACGGACACGAGACAACCTAACTAACATCTTTTTCTGGACATGACAGTACCCCCCCCTTTAGGGACGGCTCCTGACGGACTTTTGCGGTTGTTGAAGTCCCTGATGAGTGCCGGGTCCATGATAAAGCTGGACCGGACCCAGGAACGGTGCTCCGGACCATAGCCCTTCCAGTCCACCAAGTATTGGTGTCCCCTTCCGCGTTTGCGTACGCCCAAGAGTCGCTTCACTGGGTAGACCGGTCCCCCATCAACCATCCGGGGAAGTGGCGGAGTTGCGGCTCCGGGCACCATAGGGCTCTCTCTAACTGGTTTCAGCTTCCCCACGTGAAAAGTAGGGTGCACCCTCAGGGATCTGGGAAGGCGCAGACGAACAGAGACAGGGTTAATTACTTTTGACACGGGAAACGGACCCACAAACCTAGGAGCTAGCTTCCGGGAGGCAACATGGAGTGGCAAGTCCCGTGTGGAGAGCCAGACTTTCTGGCCCGGCTGGTATGTCGGAGCTGGCTGGCGCCTCCGATCAGCGACCTTCTTCATGCGCGCCGCGCTGCGAAGGAGGATGCTGCGGGCAGCTGCCCAGATTCGGCGGCAACGCCGGACCATGGCATGGGCGGAAGGGACGACGACCTCCTTCTCAGTATCTAGAAACAGAGGCGGTTGGTAGCCGAAGGCGCACTGGAAGGGGGTCAGCCCCGTGGCTGCTGTGGGGAGCGTGTTATGGGCGAATTCAACCCAGGTTAGGTGTTTGCTCCAGGATGACGGCTTCTGGGATACCAGGCAACGAAGACTCGTTTCCAATGCTTGGTTAAGGCGCTCAGCCTGTCCATTGGCCTCTGGGTGGTATCCGGACGTGAGACTGACCGTGGCCCCGATCAGTTTGCAGAATTCAGTCCAAAAACGGGATACGAATTGGGGCCCCCGGTCTGACACCACGTCCCTCGGGAACCCATGAATGCGAAAAACGTGGTTGAGCATGGTTTCGGCAGTCTCCTTGGCTGACGGAAGTTTAGGTAAGGCTATGAAATGAACCATCTTTGAGAATCGATCCACCACTGTGAGGACAGTGGTGTTACCTTGAGAGAGCGGGAGACCAGTGACGAAGTCCAGCGAAATCTCAGCCCAGGGTCGACTGGGCACCGGGAGTGGTTGCAGCAGCCCTGTGCGTGCCTGGGAGGAGGTCTTGTTCCTAGCACAGACGGGGCACGCACCAACATACTCCCGGACCTCGCGTTCCATGGCGGGCCACCAGAACCTTTGTCTGATGGCATATATGGTTCTCCTGATCCCTGGATGGCAGGTGAGCTTTGAGGTGTGAGCCCAATGAATC